GGAATGTCGCTTGTTTTAGCATCAAGAATATTAATTTGCAATACACTCAATGAGACTCCGTCACATAATTTTTTATAGCGGAGGCTCTTGAAAATATATCTAAATCATTGCAGAATATTGATGTACATTACTGCATTTAAGAATTCATGTTGGACTTTATTATTGAGCCATTATATAAACTATTTGTGTTGAATGAACACCAGTGCAAAAATACAGTGACATGAATGAAATCAGAAAGATTTGGGAGTCCTGTTTGAGTGATAAACTGATTGATTTGAATGCTCGAAGTCAACCTCTTCAAGGCTGTGTTTCTTGAGGAAAACAAAATTGCCAACATCCTCCCATTTTTACTACGAAGTGAAACTGATTCAGTGATGGGAAATTCACGGAGAAAAACATGCCGCAATTGAAGAATAACACATTTATGTAAAAAAGTAAATATCTGAATTATTAATTTTTTTTATCTTATAACGACAGGCCCACACATCAGGCAAGGTGCATTATAATTTAATTGCATCATTTTTGTGCGTCTTATATGAAAAAAAATACACTATCCTCAAAAAAATATAATATTTTCTGTTATCAGATAATTTTCATGCATGATTCAGCTTTGTCTTGATCGCTTGAGCAGTGGAGAAAAAGCTTTAGTTTTCCAAAGCGCAATATTCTTGTACTCGATTTTATTTGCGTCTTTTTTCTGATATTCAGTAAATCTGGCTTTATTTCTGACATGTAAGAACAAAATTTCAGTGTTCGTGTTTCCCTTTTAAAACCTTCTCATATTGCTCGAATGATACAGTGGACCTGTTGTTGCCTTTTTGTGTGATATTTATTGATCCAACTCGCGTCGTATTTCTTTTCTCCTTTGAGGTCACCATGCAAGAGGTGATGTTTGTTGTGTGTATCCAAGCTTAAAACAAATACGACGAATGACTGACACAAAGGGAAAATCCCTGTTTTCGCGTGAATTCTGAGCCAGAGAAGAGGAAATGACTGCAGCTGTGTGTGGAAAGATATTCGTACAGTATCTCGGTGACGACATGCGACAGGTTTGTCTGAACAAAAGCCAAGTTGTCAGGCAACGAAAAACCTCCTCCTTGTTCCTCTCGGGTGCTTTGTATAATGTACGACGAGGGGTCTAGCAAAAGTTCTGGGGATAGAAACTGAAATGGTGCATGATTGAGCAGAGGAACACTCAATGTTCAAAAAAGCATTGTTTGGCACAAGCCAAAAAAAAAAGCCAGCCCTGCTGTATAGTTATGTATATTTTTTGTTTGCAAAAGTTTGTCAAGTCACCCACAACGTATCTTTTCCCAGCATCACATCCATGGAATTGACACAAATCCTGCAGGAACAATCTTTGAAAGAAAATAAAGGGGCACATGCCCCAAAAAAATCTTCACCTAAACTTGTCAGGATGAAAATTGATATTGAATATGATTCAAATATGGGTTAAAAACATTCTTTGCCGCAAGAATACTAATTGATCCTTTTTTTACATGGTTTATGCCATTTTTTTGCAAAAGTCGTCCCAGCAGCTTTCTGATCTTTCTTCAAAAGATGAGGCGCCAATGTCGCATATTTTTTGGTGTAGCCCAGTTTCTTGTGCAGAATTCATGAAATTGACATGGCATTAATCACTGGGGTTGCCTCCAGGTCTTCCAAGGTAAGTCTGTCATTTTCATCAGCAGCCGCCAATTTCTCATCCCAAGTGGCGACTGAGGAGGCAGCTCTTGATGAAGATTGCGAAATTGATGATCGATTATTGGCGGCAACCCTTTGGAATTAATGCCATGTCAATTTCAAGAATTCTGGAAGGAAAGCTGGGGTACACCCAAAAAATCTGAGAGATTGGCGCCTCATCTTTTGAGTGAAGAGCAAAACGCTGCCAGAGGGTAACTTCTGCAAAAAAAAATTTTTGAAAAAACTCGTCAATCAGCGCTGAATTTTGTTCATGTGCCAACGAAGTATTTTTCCTGAACTATAATTATTTTTCTTCAGTTCAATTGATTGCCGTTTCAAATTCTAATCCGAAAAAATTTTCTAAACCCCCCCTCTCGCGTCTCTTCGTGCAAATTATTGTTCGTCCTACGTAATCGGAACCCGCACGAAAAAATCTGCGTTAGTCGGTGCAAAACTGTGACACACAAAATAGAAATAAAATGGAAGAGGAGGAAAATTGTTATTCTGTCGGGGCGTGGTCGGAAGTCGGAAAACTCGCGCTTTCAGGGCAGACCCCGGGGATATCCTTGCGGAGGTTTTCTTTTTTATTCTCTCTAATTTTTGCGGAAAAGAAATGTACTGCATTCGCATTGACCTGGCAGTGTACAGTGATTATAATGCTGATGATCACGAGGGAATGCTTTGCGCCTCAGGGCGTGGTTTTTGTTTTTGCGCGACGACGAGGAACCCGAAAATTTGACGGGGGCATTTAGTGGGGATTACAGTATTACTCTAGTTTTTTTGCGGTGAATTTAATGGATTTTTTCAGTGATATTTAAATTTTACGCGTTCATTTGAAAATTTTTTTTAATGATGACTGAAATCATCGCCAGTTTGCAAATATTGATGAATTTTCTCTGTTCTTTTTTCTCTTTGCAGGTTCAGCATTGCTCCAGCTCGTGGAAGTGTACAAAAGTATTCAGACTCAGCAGCTTTCAGTTGTAAGTAAAAATGAAAAATGTTCACCCCCTTTTTCCCTTCAGCTGAAATTATTGTGGATTTGTTTTTTANAATAAATTTCTGTTGAAAAATTTGCCAAGACTGACCTAAAATGCTGAATAAAAAATGTTTTACTCCTGATCTATGATGATAGCGTTTCACCGTAGTTGAGTTATGGTGAAGCAAGATCACTTACGATGTGCAATAATGTTTTTCGAATTAAATTTACAAAATTATAAATAAATAAACACGCATTTCCTCAGAATTGAGCACGATGTAACGTCATATTTTCGATTAAGCCTGATTTTCTGAGATTCAAATTGGGTCTTGATCCTTATTTCTGAGATTTTTGCAGCCTCAAATTCGCATTTCGTTTTTAAAATATACGTTTTTCCCTAAATAATGAGTGGGTGATCGCTGTTGGTTCTGATGTGGATTCTTCCGAAATTTGCAGCTGAAGGCCTTCTACGTCGACATGTTGGTTCCTTTGGAAACCAATCTGGACAAAGATACGAAAGTTATCCAGGTTTGTCCTCCGCGTTTTTTTTTTTTTTAGTTTTTGCGAAAGAAATGCTAAAATCATATCTTTGATTCCAGGCGGAACATAAAAGATTTATGCAAGATCACAAAACATTGATGGAAAGTTACCTGAAAGCGGCAAACGCAGTGAAGAAGGACAAGAAGCGAAGTCGAGGTTCAAAAACCGGAGCCACTTTGGACAAAGAATTGAAGGTAATAAATGGCCCATTCCAGGATTTTTCTCGTTATCAAATTTGGGAAAATATCAAGTGAGCAAAAAGAAGGGAAATTCATTGCAAAAAATATGAAAGTATCAGAAGTCCAATGAGCAAAACGTTATGTTCACCGATGAAGACCTATAAACCGTGAACACGAATAATTTAAATTTATTCGGATCTGTCTCAACCTAAAATCTTCAAGACGTTATTTTGGTAATTAATTATTGGTTTTGATGCGCCTCATCGTTTTTGCACCTGTTTTTTCTATGGCTGCTAGTCTGAGATTCACCCAATTTGTTCATCGAAAATGAATTTTGATACGCAATAAAAAATGTTGGCGTCCAAAAAGAATTATTGACGTCGCACGAAAGAATAAACTTTCATTACGATTTACTCTTCGCTGAATGTATTTGGTTTTTCTGCAGTTGCTGTTTTGAGATTTGTAAATGTCAGCCTTACAGTACTTCTTAATCATCACCATTTGAGAGGCCTTTGGGAGTCATCCGAATTCCACGCCAAGTTTTCTTTTGTTGGCGTGGAATTCGGATGACTCCCAAAGGCCTCTCAAATGGTGATTATTAAGAAGTACCGTAAGTTTTCTTTTGTTTGCCATTTTTCTGGTATTTTGGTGAATGTCATTTTACTGTGAATTTTCGTACCTTTTAAGGAAAATAATGCTTTACTATATATAAATACGAAGAAATACTGATTGGGAGTAAATTAATGTCGAATGCTGAAGTACAGTATTCATCAAGTTTAACTTTTATTTTTTGCGTCGCACGTGTAGGGAATATATAATGCAAAATCAAATTCCACGTTTTCTTAATTCATCGGAATGCTTGTATTTTTTTTTTTCATTTGCGTTGGTTGCATTCCAGCCTCTCTATGTATGAAGAACTCGGCGGTAATTAAGAAAGAGTCCCATATACCTTTTGTGTTGGGTATTTTTCTATTTCCGAGACCCCATTTCACGAGAGGTAAACATCGTGAAACCTGTGTCAGGGGTCAAGGCTGGGTCAGTTTACTCAACTTCCTCGCCGGGGTTCGAATTATTTCGAGTCTATATTTGTGTGTGCGTGTTTATTTTTTCGTTTTCTTTCTATTCATTTCGGAGATACGTGTGCGACTGATCTGCATTTTAAAGCGTTTATTGAGCAACGAAGTGCTCGGTTTCTGGAGAATTCATACTCGTGGTTTGTGTCTTGTTTCTCCAGCATTTGCGGTGTCTGGAAGAGGAGAAGATGAAGCTGAATGCATTCTGCGAACAGAGCATGCGAGCGGTGAGTTTTTATTTTAATATTTTTGCTTGTTTTTTTTTAAATCGTTTCCATATGTGTGCATAACATAGTTTTATTTCTGTAAGTCGAGGGATGTGTTTTTCAAGGGGGATTTTGGGTCATCTTGAATCCAAGGGGGCCGAAGTTTTATACAGTAAAATATCATCGCAAGGAATTCCCAGGGCCATGATGAAAAAAATAAATCATTATACAATTTGAGTCATGTTTCTTGTGCATATAATATGATGGCTAACGTTTAATGGGAAACAGGTGATACTTTTTTGAAGTACAGTGTATTTCCGTGACATGAGGATTAAAATAATGGCTGTGGATTGAAAGCAAATTCAAAAATGAAACACAGAATCAGCCCAGGACAAGGAGTGGGAATTCTTGATAGAATCCTTACTTTAACTTTAAGGTGTACAGTATTTCAATTGTCCCAACAATTTTTCAAGATTTTATTAACAAGTTCAAGACGCAAAACTGACCATCACAGAAACCCCCTCAGCAAGCTTTTGAAGACCTTTTGAATACCCAAATGTTTCCAATGACAGCTCAAGACAGACTGGCAAAGATTAAGAAGAAAAAAATAATTTAATTAATTATTGTGAGTGGCCTTTATCCAATACTCTACCCTAGATCAGGCAAATTTTGGAGTCCTGGGATTGACTAGAATAATCTGATTCAAAGGCAACACTGCGCTCAAAATTTTTTGAATGAAAGTTCTCAATTTTTCTGGGTGATTGGTTTTTGTCCTTGGGTGATGCTACCCACTCAATTAATGCCTCCACTAATGAGGCGCGTATCACACTGAGGCAGCAGGTCCCCAACAACGTGTCCATATTTTTAAATTCCTTAAATCAAATACATTGGCCCCCGCCTAACAGACCTTCCACTTACGGGATTTTTGCCTAAAAGACTAGCTCTGCAAGCAGTTTTTCCTTCCGCTCAACAGACAAAATCCGCCTAACAGACTTATGTTGGTTTAAAATTAGTGTTGACAATCAAAAGTTTTAATGTACATAATTGAATTTGTCTGAAGGATTTTTTGTTGAGCAGACTTGTCCATTCCATGAATTAAGTCCATTAGATGTGGTTTAATGTAATCAAAAAAACTGAAAAGTAAAGTAGGGTACAATTGTATTTTAGACCTTCCGTTTCCTGCATTTAAAAGTAATCTCTTCTTGCAAAAGTATGAGCTGAAAAAAGAGAAATTATATGCGTAAGAAGAGCATTTATTCATTAATAATTGCATGCTCCCTGAAATGGAGCAGGATCTTTCCGAACACGCTTTTTCAAAGAAAAATTTACATATCGAAATCCTTAAATAAAATATTTCTAATTTACTCATGGAAAAATAAAATATTTCGTGAGAAGTCTTTCCAATGATTTCTGTTTCTTTTATGATCCTTTCCAACTTCGGCCCAGATTCTTCCCAACTCCTCCGCACAGATGTTCTGAAGATTTATATTTAATTTACAGTAAGCAGATTCTCATCAGAACGTTCCATATTATATTCGTAAGCGAAAATTTTCATCTTCAGGAGATGAAAGTTATTTAGAAGCACACTCTGATTTATGATATTTTACTTCCTTATGATTCGAGAAATCTCTCAAATTTCCAGATGCCTCTTGTAAAATATGATATTCGCGGAAAAACAATTTCGGTAGAGGATTTCATGTCAATCATCTGAACATTAGGGTTTGTTTGTTTGTTTGTTTGAAGACTTGAAGAATAAAAAAAAAGGGAAGGATTGGATTCAGCTCGTGCCGATGTTCCGAAAAATATTTGTCGGTTCTCGTCGAAAATAAACTTGGCTTTTTTTTTCGCCGCTTGGCAACGAATTTTTTCGGAGTGTCGCCCGGAAGGTCGGAAAATATTTTATGCTCAAGCACGTTTCTCAAGTGGCATCAGTTTTAGTCGGTTTTTATATTTCATCTCATTTTCTAATTTTAATTTTTGGAGGGTGTCGATGGCGAAAGTGGGTCTGTTTTCCGGTTCACTTGAAAGTTTTTGTTTCATATGGATTTATTGACAAATGGAATGAACGTTAAAAGGTATTTATTTTAAGCTGCTTTACGATCTTCTGTGAATTTCGCATTTATTTTATTGTTTTCCTGATGGAACTGATGAAATCACATAAGCACACAAATATAAATTTCCTATACTTCATGAATTTGAAATTTTCGAAAGATATTTGTATAGTTTAGGGGGAACGAAATCGTGTCAATTTTTCGAGTTTCTTTTACTTCCTCCATTGATGTAATTTTTCGTGAGGGGTAAGATGAAGAGTCTTCAAAGTACCGACTTCCTGAGCCTTGAATAAGGATCCATTCATTTTTTCAAATTTCAAATACGCCCAGTAAACTTGAATGGATGCTCGGAATTTTTAATTTAATGCTCTCTATATAAAGGTCCCCTGTTTGACCAAAATAAATTGCGAACCCATTTTTGAAACGTCAACGGCATTGAGAAGAAGGAAATTTTTAATTATTTTTCATGAGTTCAACGCGTAATAACATGATTATAAATCGCAAAGCTTCCCCGCAATTTAAAAATATGCATTTTCACGGAAATGATCTCTAAATCTTTTTATTCAGAAGCATCATATATTTCCTTGGCCCGGTTCTGGAATGTGTGTCAAAATTTTCGTACGCTGGTTGAGGTCAAGTTCAATTTCAAGAATAAATTATTGAGAGTGAGCCGAATAGAGTTTTCGAAGCTTTTCGTGATACTTCTGGTACGACACTCTGAAAAAGGAAAGTACACTACAGTACAGTACTTTACTTTTAGTTTTTTCGAAGTGGCGAACCGCAAATCATTCAGAGGCGAGCTGAACTAAAATAAATCATGAAGAATCATGTGGAAAATTTATCTCAAGGTCAATTTATTTACGTTTACGTATGTTCCACTAAAACAAAATCGACCTAAGAAATAGAAAAAATTCAAAAGAAAATAACGTTGAGCCTCCATTTTCAGCGCTTTTAAGCCCGAGCTGAAGGCGTTCAAAAAAAAAAAAAAAAAAAAAACACGGATGAAAATTCGATTTGAAATTATGCAGCATTTTTTATGACCACGATTTTTTTTGTGTGTGCTTGTTAAAAGCTGTTCAGGCATTGCATTTCAAGAATCCGTTCACTTTCCTTCTTCTTATTTAATGTGTACAGCTAGATATTGTGTCTTATTTCCATCGCCTGCTTGATTATTCTAAATGTGACATCAAAAATCGGTATGAAATCATGCTGCATTTTTTATGATGCAAACTATATTTTTTTCAGTTTGTGTGCTAAAAGCTGTCTGATGCAAAGCATTTCGAGAATTCCTCTGAATTCTACTTTTTCATTTAATGTGTTTAGTTTGAGATTCTCCCTTATATCCATCTCCTGTTTGATTTTTCAAAATTTGCCATCAAAAATCAGTTTGAAATCACGCAGCCTTTTTTTCATGATGCAAAATATTTTTCTGTTTGCTAAAATTTGTTTGAGCACTGCAAAGCGTTTCTAGAATCGCTCCAATTTCTAATTTTTTTAAGTTTAATGTATGAAGCTTGAAATTCCGTGTGATTTCAATCGCTTTTTGCATTGATGAAATTTTGACATCGAGTCATTTTCCGTGAAAAAAAAAAAAACAGGGAGTGAGCTTTTAGCTCAGTTTCATTGTGTCGTTTTTATTTACGAAAGCCCACTGCAACGTGAGATAAACTTGAAATATCGAAATTAAAGACACAAAATAAAGAAAAGCAAAACAATCACGACGAGGAGCACAATTCATGCTTGTCGCGTCGTCTGTCGAGCTATGATTCGACACGACTGCTGGCACTGACGCGACGTGGGAGTGCATTAACGCCACTGACGAGAGCCAAATTATTTTTCCCTTGCCAGCACATAAATTGATTTTCTTTTTTGTAATGTAATTGTTTCGGGGAAAATTTTCGAAATCCGACGCTCGTCTTTCAAAAAAAAAAAAAAGAAATGGTCCAAAAAAACGAAAGTACTTGAGTTACAATGTCGTCAAAGTTACCTGCTGTCCTTCACGAATTTTTCATATTTCTTTCGGTTTTGATCAATTCTTTTCTTTTTTCCTTTGACAGGCACTGACACAGGAAAGAAAGAGATACGGCTTTGTCCTGGAGCGTCATTGTAATTTGAGCCAGCATTGGCATGCCTTGTACGGCACTGGGTCGACGCTGTTGCAGCGACATCTAGATCAGTGGCTGGACGTCGCCAAGGCAAGGGACAGTCTGCCAGAGCACCTCAACACCCTCGCACTCCAAAGACAGAGGGTTAGTCACACACCTTGCTCACAACGCCTTGTTTCTTTCACTTATTATTTGCACCAACATCAGTATTTAATGCCCTGTTCTTCTCTTATTCCTTGGGCATGTACAGTACTGTACATAGTTTCTATGATTGGCTTTGACACTTTCACTCACAAATTACAAGATTTTTTTTCTTTCTGTGTTTGTCTCAATATTTGCTTCATTTTTTGGAAATTTTTGAAGCATCTCTTTCAGCCCAATGTGCTTTAAAGAGGTGAAAAGTATTTGGGAGTTGATGACATGTGCTTCACTTGTATTCAGTAGTGGAGTACTGTATAAGGTAGCAGTGTATATAGGTGTAAATATATTTTTAAAAGTAAAATGAGCTTTGAAAAGTTAAAAGGAATTCAAGAGTTGATGGCATGTGCTGTTCTTGTGCAGTTGAACCTCCCTGAGTCAATTACCTCTCCATGTCAAATTTTATTTTCAAATCTCTGTCTGAATTCTCCTAGAAACATTAAAAATCTACCTAAACGTTGAAGGCTTGCACCTCCATAGCTTGCATTTTCTGGAAGCCTGTTGGGTATTATTTTATTGGCACAGGAAAAAGAAAAGCAATAGAATTTTGGTCTTTGAATTTCTTATTAGAGAGAGTCCACCTATATTTCATCCAGAACTGCAATCAAATGCAGTTTGATCAAAGGAGATAATTTGTCTGGAATTTTTTGGAAGCTGCTGTGGTGATGCAAAAAAAAAAACAGCAGCTGTGTTTTTGGAATTAGCAAAAAAAAATTTACAGTTGAGCCGCTCCAAGTTGAATTTCATGGGACCAGCAAAATATATGACATTATTAGTGGGGTTATGAGTTAGGGAAGCGGGCAATTTTGTTGTTGTTAAAAATTGATTCCACCAAAGAATTACAGGAAATTGTAAATGGTGATATTCTAGGCCATAAATTGCCTCTTGAATTAGTTGACAGGATGATGCTGAACATAGAAGCAGGATTTGCCCAATTAGTCATTCACTTCCCTTCAAAGCACATCACGCTGGTTTTTATTGCTTTTTCCTCTTTCCCCTGTCAAGTATACAATAGCCCCAGAAAATTTGAGTTATGGAGGCTTTAGAGGAAAAGCCTTTGAGTCAGAGAGGTTTTCAATGCATTGTTTCTTAGGGAATCCATACAGGGGCATGAAATACATTTGACTTATACATATACATTATACATTTTTTAGGGAGGTGCAAGTTATTGAAGTACAACTGTGTCAATTGATATCCCCATTTTTCAAGTTGTTATTGCCAACTTGATATCAAGTGTAATGAAATGAAGTTAATAAACTGAAGATAAATGTTCGTGGTTTTATTCATCTCTCCTACAACAGACCCCAGTGGAAGCCCTGTACAGCAGTCCGTTCTCAGACTTTGAGGACCCGAGTTCTCTCCAGGCCCAGCTCAGAAAATCCCGATCCATGGACACTTCAGTTATTGACCTGGCCGAGGCCACGAACCCCAACAACATCATGTCCAACCTGGGTCCCAACCAAACCCTGGTTCGCAGCGCCAAGTCAGACTTCAACCTCTGCCTCTCCTCCCAAAATGGGATGAACGGAGGTGAGTGTTCCTTTCTTCATTTTATATATTTTTAGCATTGTCTGGATAAAAAAATAAAATGAAACACAGTACTTTGCTAAAAACAATATATGCTGGAAAATAAATCCTGGTAATACAGTACAATCTCATTGCAAAAAAAAATACCCTTCCAACAAAATTTTCAGTACAACAAACTTGCTTCAAAGTCTCAGCAGAAATCCTACATGGTACATGTTATAAATTCTTTTTAAAACAAAATCACAAATAATAGTGTAACAAACTATTTGAGGAACACGGAATTTCTTGATGAAAAATCCCCAATGAAGGCAGGCCCAGTCTCAAATTTCACATTCAAAATGTGACTGAGACTGGTTCTTGGGATATAAGGTGGAATCACAGACAAAAATTCTTTAATATTCACCTGGATCTCCTCTATTTCAAAATTTTTTCCTGGGTTACGAAAGATGTGGGGATAGATGAAAAAATGAACCCAGCAAAACTCATGTTAAAAGGGGTTTTATGCTTGAGAAACCTGACTTTTGCTTAAAAATTGAAAGCTCTTTTGGAACGTCTACCCTTACAAGTCTGTGCAGGAATTCCTTAGAAAAACTTGTATTCAACAAACAGCAATTGTGATACCTGTTATTCAGAGAAAATGTTAATTATTAACATTTAAATTTCTTTCTGAAGATCACAGTTTTTTAAGCATTGAAAAACATCTGAAAAGGCCAAAAAAGGAAGATGTTGAATTTATGTAGATCTAATTAAAAATCTTCGTATCAGTCAACAATTAAAAAAAACTTTTTATTACAAATTATTCATTGTTACAAACGTTTTCTAAAGTCCCCACAATTTTTTCGTAACCAGATTTTACTGTGCTTTTACTTATTTGAGTTGCACGCGCCATTGAAATAAACATGAACAAGGATGTTTTCAGTCAAAATTTCTTATAAAATTGCATCTCTGAGTTAGGACGCAACCCCCAATTTTAGTGACACTAGAACTGCAATATTTCGAAAATAAGAAGGTCCAAATTTGAATTTAGACCGCCTGTTGGAAAAAACTTCGGCATGCCGACAATTCGGCGCCAGATTAATTTTAAAAGGATAGTCTTTCCCGAAAATATCTAACAGCTTCTGCTGGAGCCTGGGAACCGAACCCGAGTT